ATCGTTGCGTGTTGTGTTAGGTAAACTAATCTAATATGTAAAACAATGTCTCTGTCTATTTGAGCTTTATTTCTCCTGCTACTGAATTCTCATTAGTAGTGCAACGTTTTTCCTTAAATTTAATAGCATATAACTTCCATGTGCATCGATAGTTTAAGGGTAGACTGCTCACCATTCAAGCATGTCATCCAGGTTCGATTTTCGTCTGCTGACACACTCTACACATAGTCAGCAGTAAACCTCGTAAAGGAGAAAGGTCAGGTGTAAAGGCTAGCAACACCACAGCACAGCTACTGAAACTTTAAAGCTCCAGCTTGAAGCCCAAAAATCGATTTATAGAACACAAAGAAATGAAAAGACTGCAACCAGTCATTGAAATTATCGGTTTTTGTAGGGATTTAGATTAATTTCAGTGTAGGATTTGTCACAAAGACGACTGAAAACCAAGCAGCACAGAACAACTATTTCATCATTGTATATTGGGGTATATCAGCAGTGTACATACAGCACGTCAAGGCGAAGGCACTAACTGAGGGTAGCGCTATATGACGAGCCGATAAAGTTAGAAATCACAGCGAAATAGCTGTAATTTTCATGGTGAAGTGGATAGATAATCAGACTTTAAGTAAATATCATTAAAACACGAAGGAAATGAAAAATAAAAAAGGATGGGAGGGTCAAATTAAACTTTACCTAGGTCAAGGGAGAGACAAAAGTAGAACAAACTTCTTTTGTATGCAAATAATAGGATTATTCTCTCGATTTCCCATAGCTTCGGCTATGTATAAAAGGCGGGTCCGAATTCCGTTCGAAAGGCTAGATGGAATGCGTTATAGATAACTTTGAAGGCACTATTTCTGTCCACTTGGTGACCGCTATCAATCAAATGAGTCAAAATAGAACTTCTTATAGATTTGGCGGCCTGTTTGACACCTGGGCTACCTTTCCGTACACCTACATATTTGCATCTAATACATCATGTTTTCATTTTTAATTTTAACTAAATATGATTACAAATCGTATCAAATACAGTAATGAATTCATTAAACGTTTTAAACCATATGACTTTCATGCATCTAATAAAACTAAGAGTAAACATCATGGTGGTTGGCAACGCGCTCTCAAACGGACACCATTATATCGCACAACTATTCCTGTTATTGTCAGTTCTAACTGCAGTTCACTTCCCAACAAAATTATGCATCTCCAGTCTCTCTTATCATCTGATACTTATCACAATACTGCGATAGTCACACTACAAGAAACATGGCTCCATGATCTTTATGACGACAACCTGGTTTCTCTAAATGGTTTCACATTGTTCAGACAAGATCGAATATGCTCTAGAAAGAAAAGAGGTGGAGGAGTCGCAACCTTCATTCATTCTCAGTGGTCAACTTCAAATAATGTATGTTTTTCTTTCTCTAGTGACTTTATTGATTGTATTACAGTCAAATGTCGTCCGAAACACCTATCCAAGTTTAAATACGTCTTCATCTCAAACATTTATGTTACTCCTAGATGTTCCGCCTCGGATCTATCTCATTTTGCCGATGAATTCACAGCATTCGCGGTTACACATCTTGAAAACTCTTTATCAGTTGTCACTGGAGATTTCAATACCTGTGACTGTTCTTTTCTTGAATCATTAGGTCATGTCAACATTGTCAAATTTCCAACTCGACTTGATAAAACTCTGGATCTAGTATTTACTAATGATGCGGAAATATATGAAGCACGCAGACGTGCTCCTATAATGAACTCTGATCATTGTATTATTCGGATATTACCGAAGATATATAGCAGATATCACTCTAATATCCTCTCGAATCTCTCCAGGAAAACACAACAAAGATGTTACTCACAAGAAAACGTGCTCAAACTAAGATGTATGTTAAATGACACAAACTGGGAACTTTTCACTGAACACACTCTGGATGATACTATTTCCAATCTGACTGACTATCTTAAATTCTGCCTTGATGTATGCTGTCCTAAACAGATACTTTTCAAAAGAATAGATCGTTTCTCTTCTCCTCATCTCAAAAAGCTTCGAAGAGAAAAAGAGAGACTGTACAAGGCTAAGGATAAAGCTGGTCTTAGGAGAATAAACATCCAAATCAAATCCGAAATCAAGAGGTTAAACAATATTTATAATCAAAGAATTTTGTCATGTAAAACTCCTGGGAACATGTGGAAGCTTTTCAAAGAAATTACAGGTTGTGGTAAGCATAGTTCTTATGCTCCCTCTATTGATGCAAATACTCTTAATAGATCTTTTATCCGCCTTCCCAATGTACCTTTTAGCTTCAATGTAACAAATAACATGACCAGTGACTTTCATAGTTTTAAAACTTCTGATGTTCTTAAAAGTTTCAAATCTCTTAAACCTTCCCAGAGTCTAGGTCCTGATGGTATACCTGCCATTGTCCTAAGGAAATGTGCTGATATTTTAAGCAACCCACTTACAAACATTTTTAATACTTCCTTTTCTAATAATGTTGTACCTTCTCTGTGGAAAGATATTAAAATCATCCCTGTACCTAAGTCAGGCTCTGGTAATAATGCTAAGTTCAGACCTATCGCTATAACCTCTCCTTTTTTGAAACTAATGGAGAAACTATTGTTACTAAAACTTGTTCCCTCCCTAAGCTTCTCAAACGATCCAAAGCAGTTTGCTTACAAACAGGGTAAAAGTACTTTGGACGCTGCTGCTGTGTTTCATCACAACATTGTATCCTCCTTAGACAAAGGGGCCGAGTTTGTCCGTTGTACGTTCCTTGACTATACATCTGCTTTCGACTCTGTACCTAGAGGCCTATTGTTAAACAAGCTTAGCCTAGCACAAACTGAGCCCTGGGTTATCAACTGGCTGCACTCTTACTTCTCTAATAGGATGCAGTACACGGTATATAATGGTGCATCTTCCTCTCCATTGCTTACTGAAGCTGGAGTTCCTCAGGGTGCTGTTCTTTCTCCGTTTCTCTTTTCCTTCTTCTTACATGATTTACCTCTCTCAGATGAAGTCAACTTCGTCAAATATGCAGACGACCTGTCTGTATCGTTTTCCATTAAGTCTCAGTCAGACTGTCTCAAATTAAATAGCTTCCTGTCGGACATCAGTGAGTGGTCCAAACTAAATGGTCTCATGCTGAATCCCTCAAAATGCCAGACTGTCGACTTCTCCCTTAGGCATAAACGAGATCTACAAACACTAGTAAGTTCTCATGAAGACTGTTGCATTGAGGGGACTAAAATTGAAACTAAGTCTAATGCAAAATACCTCGGTCTAGTTCTATCTTCTGACCTTACTTGGACATCTCATATCCTAATGATTTCTAGGAAAGTGTTCTGTCTTACCTACTACATTAAGAAACTTAGACAATCTGGAATCACCCAACCTCTACTTTCACAATTTGTCAACTCTTGTATCCTACCTATTCTACTTTACTGCTCCCCGTTAGTCTTTCCTGGTCTACTGAAAAAGGACTATTCCATCCTGAGAAGGATGTTGACAGTAGTTAGTAGGACTAGTGGTGCTAACCTCAGTCAGCTCGTGATTACTTTAGTTGATAGGCATCTGAATACATGTGAAAAGTGGTCTAAAACCATACTCTCAGACCCCCAACACCCCCTCTATTCCCAACTCTCTCCTTGTATCTCATCAAGTAAAACCAGAAATCAGTATAAAAGAATCTATGCTCGTACAACCAAGTACAGGAACTCAACGATACCATACTTGGCCCGTGTTCTAAGCGACAGAGACAATGTTAAGCGTGAAACCTGTGACTTGCTTTGTTATTAACAACATAATTCCATACTCTTTTATTTCTCTCTTATTTCGTATTCTTTAGTGAACTCCTTCTTCAAACTTACTTAGCTACCTGAAATATTAACACTGGCTTCCTTTTTTGTACTTTACTATATTCCTTCTATTGTGTATCCACTGGTTCCGACTATATTAGCACTATGAGTATTACAAAATTGTCGTGTCATTAACCATCATGTAATTATTAGTTTTGTGGTTGCTTTTCTTATTTTCTACACTTTTTGGCAATACTAAACTGACAATCATTGTTTGTGAATGCCATAGTCACCACCTGAAAAAAATTTTGTATTATTCAGGATTACTCACACTACCACCACAAACACTGCATTAGACCTTGGTAGACTTTGGTACTTTTTCGCATTCATAATTATTTTGTGTTTATCCTGTTTTTTTTTTGCTGTTGGTGTCTTCAGATTTACTTTTTTTTGTTTGTTTAATACTTATTTTAAACGTCGGTAAAATTAGATGCAAATATTGTAGATATGTGCTGAAAATTCCACACTGTACAACTAGTACTGTTTCTGGAATAAAGCAAATTATTATTATTATTTATTTGGCCCTGTTCTGAACTATGAAGGAAGATGTTCATTAACACGTTTGTTGAGCTGTCTAGTTGTTCATCCCATCTAACTTTCTCCACAGGAGCAGCTAAATTTCTAGATACACATAGAAGTGGCACAGCTAGCAAGCTTTTCTTTCGCTTGAGCAATCATAATTGGTCGGCTGGAAAATGACAAACAAAGGGTGGCGGTGGTACTATTTCGTTTCATTGCTCTCGATAATCTTAGATGTAAGACTTCACTAGCCACATTCCCATTAAATTGCAATTTTAGGAACAGTTGTTTCTTTTTAACTGTTGTCATTTTCTCTTTATTATACCCGGTTTTCATGTGTCACCTTATAAATCTACTAGGATAACTCATTTGGACCAGCGTATTTTGGATGCCTCCTAATTCACTCTCTAGGAAGTCATCTGTACAGATATAGCTGTTATAGTTGTGTCCAGTGCTTTCTGATTTTCAGTGCTCTCTAACCTGATGTTGAATCGAGACGAAATGAACAATAAAACATAACCTGTAAAATCACAACCTATCAACATGCTTAGTGACATATGAATGAATGAATAAACATTTTAAAAAACGAGTCAGAAAACGATAGCCTTTGATTCAAATCTGTTTTTTATTATAGAATTATTTAATTTACAATTAGATATTAATGTATGTATGTATGTATGTGTAAATATGCGTGTATTCGTGTGTGTGTGTGTATGTGCATGCATGTATGTATGAGTGTGTATGTATTATGTGTGCATAATATTCGATCAACGAATCACTGACGACTTTATTATCCGTATTATTCCTTCAAAAATAAAATAAAGAAGTAGTGAGGAAACAGAAAAGGAGAAAGGACATGCATGCATACAATAAACAGAAGTCTTAAAGGAAACAACGTTGACGACAATGACGACGAAAACAACAAATAAACAATAATATATCAATAATACTGTACTGGTGTAAGAGCAAGAAAAAGCACAATTGAAAAATCAAAAGAACTCAAAGACATTAATTTTTGTGTACTCTAAAAAAAGAAAAAAAACGAAGAAGCAAAGCATCGATGTATAAAAATTCACACACAGTGGACTGTTCAATTCTCTCCTGTGTATTATCTCATTTTCAAACACACACAGCAGAAGTAACTGTCTTGTTCTCTTTAAATATCTATCTGTAGGATGTGTTGTGCGGTAACACAAAAGAAAAAAACAAAACAAAACGTAAATGAAGATGAGTATTGTAACAATCTACTGAGGTGATGATGTCTGTTTTGAATTTTCTGTTGAAAGACGGACGAATCACCTATTTGCTTGCACATAAAATGTCAATCAAGTGTGTGTTTGTATGCCTGGCAAGCAGGAAAAAAAATCAGTTTCTCAGAAAAGAAATAAAATATGAAGAGTAGAGAAATCTCAAATTAACTGTGATTAGAAAAGGAGCGGGCATACTCAGAGGGAGAGGGAGGGGGGTCGGAGAGCAAATGAAAACAACTAAGGATAAACAACTTCACTTGCGAACAGGACGTGTGCTCCATGGCATTTATGTATACGTATATAACACTCAAACACTGGAGAGAAAGAAAATTCATAAATAATTCCATGAAAATATAATGAAAACTGGAGTCAACAACAAGGTCGTTTTTTGAAGAGGGGGTGGTAGGATGGAGACAAAGAACTCTAAAACAAGAGATGGAGAGCGAGAGAGAGAGCGGGGGGGTATTTAGAACAAATAAATAACAACAATACAATACAGCACAGTGCAGTACAAAGTATACACTTATACTCTTTTTGTCTTGCAATTAGTCAGTGAGTGACTGTTAGGTAGTGTTGCGTAAGCAAACAAACAAAAAAAGAAGGGAAGAAGAAACGGAGAAGAGTGATGATAGGGATAATCAATAAAAACCGGGACAGTAGAACAATTTGATGGCGATTTTAAAACAAAAACAACAAGCAAACGCGACAAAAATGAAGACATTACATTACACAGTACAAAGAAACGACAATAGTACAATTACGCATACAGTGATATTTCCCAAAGACAATTATCGAATAAATAAATAAATAAATAAGCTAAATGAGTAAAGGGTACCAATGAAAGCGGAAGAATCTCAAAGAAATGAGAAGAGGAACAATTCGAACACACACGAATGGTATTACTATAGATAAAAAATTACAGTACGGATGCATTAAAACAAAATGTGTGGTTTACAATTTGTGGAGGAGTGGGAGGGGGCGAAGAGCAGGAGCAGGAGCAGGAGTTTTATACGCAATTAAACAAAGTAAAGCATATACACATGTAAATTTGTCATGATAGATTACTGCTACTTTATGAAGACAGACAACAAAACACCAAACATAGTCGAGATGATGATGAAGGTACGTAATATTATCATTATTATTATTATAAACAGTAATATAGTATAGTATTAGGCAGAAATTAACGTATGCATACATAGCATATGTATATACATACAGGGGGTAGCACCAGGAGAAAACCAAACAATTGTCTTAGAACAGCAGACACACCACTGAGATGAAAACTGATTGGTGGAATAAAGTAATAAAAGAAGAAAAAAAGCACATATCCGTGTGTGTGTGCCTGTTTTAAATAAAAATAAAGAAATAAATTAAAGCGTTACATTTGATTTTGTTGCTGTTATTGTTGTTGTTGTTGTAGTTGTTGCTAAGACATTCCACGTGAAAAACTTCGAAAAAATGATAAAATGGCAATTAATATACTACGCCAGTAATGAGATCTTCGATGAATTGTAGTATCAGGATTGTCAGTAATATTATCTTCCCTGAGCCATACAATAATAGGATCAGATGTATACACAAGTAAACAGCTAGCCAACATAGTCATGGAAAAGCAGACGGCAAGTTTCCTAAAAAAATGCAAAATAAAACAAAAAGAATAGAATAAAGTATTTTTTAAATTATTTTTTTTATTCCTTTACGTTCCCAGTGGAACAAGGGGGTTTCAAGCTAGAGGCTTAAAGTTTCGGTAGCAGTGGTGATTATTTTTACAGAATGGGGTTGCTAGCCTCATGCCCAGCCTTCCCCTCTTTACCAGTCTTACTACTGGCTTAGAGAAGTAAAGAAGTGTGCCGTCGGGGATCGAACCCCGGACCACCTGCATGGTCGGCGAGCAGTCTATCAGTGTGCCAACAACGCTGAATAAAGTATACTTGAATTTATTTGTGGATAATGGTGACATTGATGGTGCGTCGGTGGCACAGCGGTTAGGACGCTTGCCGACCCCACAGATGGTTCGGGGTTCGATCCCCGGCCAACGCACTCCTTTACCTCGGTAAGCCAGTAATAAAAAGCTGGTGAAGAGGAAAGGTTGGGCATGAGGCTAGCAACCCCATCCTGTAAAAATAAACACTGGTACAGAAACTTCAAGCCTCTAGATTGAAGCTCTATGTTTCACTGGGGACGTGAAGGAAAAAATGACAATGATGGTCATCAAGGGAGTCAAAACTCGTGCTTAGACCTATTTGGATCTTTACGGCTAAATGTAACCACATCGTTAATCAATGAATGAGAATTTTTCCACATAAACTCAAACCCAGTACCCGCCATTTCCACCACCAAACCATTATCCAGCTGAATAGTCTCAAATAAAAAAGGAACGTACGTCCTAAATTTCACTATTTAACACTGTCAAACAAATAACACCTAGCTAACCATAAGACATTTACAAAGAGTCGATGTTGGTAGCTGACATGTCAACAACGGAACTGAGCGTCCAAATAATTTCAATAAAGTATTCTTGAATTACAGCGGAAAGAGATTTCTACTCAGAGATTATAAAGTTTAGCAAAATTTTAGATTAAGTTAGATTCTGTCATATCCACCCCCTTTTCATACATCACGTAACCAGAGTTGATACAAAGTTCCCAATACGTGTGTAACATTATCAACAGGGACAAATGTAACGATTACAACAAAAACAACTACTACTCAATTCAAATATTGGATGTTTCATCTCTGAATACACTACTGTCCAAACACAAAATAACCGGTTGAGCACGTTCCTTTCATCATATTTTTTCTACAAATATGAAATAACAAATCGGTCGAATAAGGAGAGAAATTTTAAAAGTGGAAAATCAACCTCTCAGTTACAGATGAATGAAGAGTATTCTTCAATACCTTTTCTGTGTAATATGTGATTAGATTGAGGCTTAATGGCTTAGAAAGTGGCTTAATACTCTACGAGCTCGCTTTGTAACCGGAAGGTCCTGGTTTCGAACCTCGGTGGGTGCGTACTAATGAAGAGTCCCAAACTAGGACGAAACAGCTGTCCAGTACTCCCAGCTGGTTTTCCAATGGTTCTCTAACCAATGTCAGCTCATGATGAAATCTTGTAAGCAATCAAATCTCTACAAACCAACACTTGAATAAAGAGAAAAATGACTGGAGAAGCAACATAGAGCATTGCATAGAAAGAAGTGTATGCCTTCAAGTTGTAAGACTTTCATAGAACATAAATAAAAGAAGGGAAAAGAAATGTAACTATGATGTCAGCGGAAAGTGTGAAGGAGATATTGACAAATAAGATGAGTCAATATCAACTGACCCAAGCCACTCCATCAATCAGAGTTTTTAACCACTTAGAACGCAACCATACAATTTTCCAGTAACTTATTTACATTGACTGACGTATCAGTGTAGAAAATTGCACAGAAATAGATCACCTCAAGTTTTTACACTTCTGTAAAGCACACAGCTACACCTTCTTCTATGCGGCAAGGTTGAACTATCAGTGACCTGGGATGGCCAATCAGAATTCAGATGCAAAACAGTCTCATAATCGTTGGAAGACACACTCAAAAATATTGCTAACATGATATTACACTGTGTAGTTGTACTTTATGTGTTGTAAGAATGTCTCCCAGTCAATACACAAATGATCTATAGAGAAATCGTACCATGCAAGATATACCCATTCATCCAAGTGACTGTAGGTCATGATACTTTGAAATCCATTGATATTTCTGACACTATTCTTCAACCTACTCCTAACTCCTCGAACCACAATCCTAACTCCTAATTCTAATTTTAACCCTAAAGCTAACCTGAACCCTAAATCTTAAACCTTAGTCTTAGACGCCATAACACTACCTAACAGCATAGATTTGCAGAAAAAGTCCAAGTCCAAGCATTCCCTGTGTCTGATCGGTCCTTGAGGTAAACTTTTAAAAGACCTTCACTTTGGCTATGATACTCTAACTTCGCCTTCTATGCTGCTGATTAGCAGTCAGTGATTTCATGGACTGAGGAAACTTAATTTCAGCACGTTTTGTGCACTCGGTAGGAAGACGTTTTGCAGTCTTGAAGAAATTTATGCCACCCGAGTAACAAAGTGTTGCAGCAGTTAGACAGATATTAGAGCTGCGTCGGTGGCACAGTGGTTAGGACTCTCGCCGACCATGCACATGGTCCGAGGTTCGAGCCCCTGCCGGCGCACACCCGATATCTATGGTATGCCTGAATTTGGGCAACCGATATCCATGCTGAAAATTCCACACTTGTACTGATAATACGGTGTGGAAATCAAGCTGTAAATCAAAAATAAAAAAAAATAAAATAAAAATGTAGAAGTGCAATGCATCAATGCTGCCTGTTGAATTCCTGTGCTACCGAAATTGCTTTCCACCAAAATGCTCAATGTCATCTGGATTTATCATTGTTTTAATCGTCCAGTTGTATCAAATGACCTACACATGAAGTTGCGCGCTGATTTAACTTGCTTCCAAGTAAACAATGAGCAATTCTTCAACGAAATGAAGATATACTTCAAATTATTACTTTACATGTAAATCCTGTATGAAGAAAAAAGTATTTTGGAACTAAATGCGCTGAAAACTTTTGTACTATATGTTCTCATAATGTCTGAAATAAAGCTTTATTATTATCATCGATGAACAGGTTACTACGGTTTAACCAAGTTTATATTGCCTATTCTTCAGTGCTGAGTTTTGTCTGTGGTGAGTGCAAGCTGCTAGCCAATTGGTAGACATTGATCTACGCTGATTGGTAGAAATTAATCCAGGCTGATTCAACAACCGATCACAGCTGACCTAGACGTGGACAAATATGATTCGCAGACAAGTGGCTCGCATTTCCGAGAAATATCGAAAACGAGAAAGCAGAAGACTGCGTTTGTTTGCAAACAACCAATCAGAAGACCGCCTTCTTTCTGCGGGCAGAAGCCTATTAATGTACGTAAAATACATATAAATACCTGTTGGTTTTCGTAATAAAACTGATCTGTTGCCAGCCTTGTCTTCTGTTGTTACATGTCAACCAAATTTTAAATATTTCACATTAAACTAGGTGATTCACAATCTCAGTTCACTATGAAGTGATGTTATATTGTAAGAAGCATCGTATATATTCACTTTCACAATAACAATAACAATGATGAGACGTACAACGTTTGGTGAACTAATCTAGATGAATTTCCAAGCATTGTTTTGCAGGGATCTGATTGACTTCAATTTTGATCACGAATTGATTTCAGTTAGAGAACCATAAAGGACTTGGTACGAGACCAGCGGGGGGGGGGGTAGACTTCTGTCTTTATCTCGAAGTGCTTTTCAAATGGTCACGCGTTGTTCATAGCTTCTGCAAAGTAAGTCCTAATCACTACCTCCACTCGGCAGGGAAAGCTCCTCACAAAACTGACAGAGAGAATGAGAACGTCTGGCGCTTACAACACACGACTGGTGGACGTGCTGATCTATCTTCGGCAGCTGGAAACCCTGATTGACCCGTAAAGATAATCATCTACTTATGTTTGGTAGTCCGTGCAGTATCCCAGCCCTTGCACAAACTATGAGACAACAACTTGTGTGTTGCGTTTCTTGGTGCTGATAATGGACAAAGTTTGTTCTCTTAGTAATAAAACAAAAATTGAGAACCAGAAGTACTAGACAGATGTCTCGTCTTATTTTGAGACTCATCGGTAGTACGAAACCATAACCCTATGAGGGATCGAACCTAAGACCTTCACGAAACAAGGTGAGCTCGTATAACAACATTCGGACATTGGGACAGTACTCCTTATTTTTCAATGGTTGTTTAACTGGAGTGAATCGGTGATCAAAATTATAATCTAGACTCGGAGAATTGCTTTCTTCCCATAAATAATGGGTAATGTGATGTGAAAACAATCCACATTATATACACAATAGAGGATTCTGTTACCATATCTACACCAACTCAACATTTCTGTTGCCTGTAGTTAACAAAATCAACCGGATCAAATATATCATCAGAAATCTAATTAAAACAGATACTAAACTCAGTTAAATTCAATCAATTAATTTCATTAACAAAAAAAAGAGAAAAAGAAACACAACAACATACCGATTTTCTGTTAGTACAGCACCCAAATTTAAACAACGTATAAGCACTTGTAGCAGCATAGTGACAAGTGCAAAAAAGGAGACACATAAATCTGTTAGATAGTGTAAAACTTTACGACGAACACGTTCCAATTCAGTTCCATGTGATCCACCATGTGTGCTAGATTGATCATGAGGCTTTTCAATCATACTCACCTAAAATAATAATAATATTCAAAAAGAGACATAATATCACACGATCTATCAATAAAGAAACTATTTTGCACAAAAAACGCAGGCTTTTTACATAGAAACTGGAGGTATGTAGACAGACAGCATCATGAAATGATTTCAACTGGAAAAATCTATTACAAAAACTTTATAGACTGAGTAAAATTTAATAATGCAAACTTCAGATCCCGATGAGCAATATCATCAGTTTCAGTAGTGGTAGTGCTTTTTATACAGCGGTGAGGTTGCTAGCCTCACCTACAGAACTTTTCTCTTTATTATCGACTAGGTGAGACTTTGGAGTGCATTGGCCGAGAAGTGAAGTATAATACGGTTAGTAGCAATGAGGTTAGGTGTTTTTGATGCAGTTGTGATCTCTGAACTGAATGGTTTATTTGCGAAGCTATTAACACCTTACTAGGTAATATCTTCAGCGCATACTTCAGTTAGAAGTGAGCATCTAGATTTCTCCACGAGTTTATTAGTCATCCCTCCCGGTAACCTTGAGTGTGACTGGTTGCTTTTATGTGTTTTCACACCCTCTAGGCTACTTGTATTAGTGCTGATTGTTTTCTTGACCTGTTGTGTATGGGACTTCCTTCTTATCGATTGGTAAATTTTGTGTATGTAAATGTGTCTACTGATTGACGATTCAGTGGAATACCAAGCTTCTAAAAATTCTCCAACATTCTTGGTGTTTCCTCTGCTCAATATTTGAACGTTGTCCCAGTTTAATTGATGTCCGTGGTTGTCTGTATGCAGCGACATGAGGGAGTAGATGTCATGTCTTTGGGCGGCTAGTTTATGATCATGGATGCGAAGACGAAGGGGGTGCAGTCAATGCAGTATTGTTGTTGGTTTTATCCTTTTTAGGTGTTGGGTCTTTTGGTTGACACAGAGCTGAGTGAAGTGACTGAGTTGACTTAATGTGAGACATCAATTCCTAAAGGTTTGAACAGTCTTACAGTGATTTCTGAGATGTCCTTTAATACATGGTAGGGCGATTTTCTTTGTGCTTTCCTTGGGGGCTTTTGATTTGGTAGGTTGACTTGGGGATAGATGTCTTTTGATGAAGTTCCATGGAGTAGAGTATTAGGTAAGTGTTCCAAGATGAGTGGTGTTGGCTGATATAGAATTGGGCAAGAAAACAGTCAAGAGGAATCAGACAAAAACATGACACCAGTCCATAAAGACTTTCATTATTAGTTTGAGTCATTTAGTGAGGTATAGACTACCTGATTGGAGTCCTCGAGACACTGACAACCAATAACTGAAAAGTATTGATTATGTGTCTCAAAATCATTGTCAACAGAGCCTAATGCATTCACTTTTCATGACATCCTAGAATCACTACACCTTGATTATTCTCTGTGTAATTGAACATTTTCGTTTATCAAAAGAATAAATATTGAACAAAGAGTACTCTTTTCGATAACTTCATCATCAGGCTCTACAGTTAGATATACACATTATAGTGAATGAATGAATGAATTAGTGTTATGAATAACATTAATGCTGTTTAAATAACATCGAATCAATAACATCAATAGATTACAGCTCAATAGCATCAACACAAAATAAGCTGAATATCAGAAAAATTAGGAAAGATAATATTACAAATCCATAAGTTTATAGTCTCTACTGAAGGCTGGCCAGGGCAGTAGTAGGGGCTGAACTTGCTTCTTTTGAACACAGAGCACTGGTTGTTTGAGCCGAATTGCAATAGCCTCTGGTGTTTGTAGCATGTGGTGCTTCGACGATTTTGGTAGTTTGTTAGGCACCCGGTATATTATAGAGAAGGATTCTTCCACGCTGGCTTTGTGGCCGGTTTGCACCAGATGGTCCAATATCGAACTGTTAATGGTTTTAACTACACCTTCACTTAGCCATAGTGGAAGATGTTCTCGAGAGTGCACGAAAAATCAAGTTCCTAGAGCAATGGCCAATATAACTCGCTCCACAAGCGTAGTTGTGAATTGGTAGATACAATTTGAAGTGACTAGTCTAGGTACTTCATCTTTCAGTCGAGGTAGCACCGGTTGTGTTTATGTTTTTTTTTAACATTGGAAACTTGAATTATTATACTTTTGTGCAGAGTTCCGCGCGTTGAACATTCAGTGTTCATTAATATTACCCATTTCTAACAGTGAATTATATAATTTTGTTCTAATATCATTGCAATTCAACATCAATGTTAATGAATACATCTCTCTAACCGCCTAACGTTTTTCGCTTCAGTTACAAAAAAAGAGTGGAAAACAGTTATGTTTTCTTCTCTCTGTCTCTCTCGATAGGAAATGAAAACACTTGATATAAACTCAAAAGAGTGTAGAATCTATTGATTTCAATGGGACTTTACTATTTTCTACTTCAATATATACACATATGTGTGGTATTGGAGGAGTACACACACATACACACACACACAAGCACATACTTGCATGCATGCATGCAGGGAGGCAGGCAGGCGTAAATCAGACGTAAACATTTTAATGAGATTACAGCAGCAATATAAAATATGAATACTTGAAACAGGGGATAGATCAAATTAAAGAGAATAGTTAATCAACAGTAGTGTTTGATAACATACTAGAAAATAATAAGTGTTATTAAGTGACAAGCAATACTATGGCAATATTAGTAGAATAATTATTATGCGAGAAAACAGAAATTAGAGGATGGATTACATTAAACAAGATGGCGAGGAATATACAAAATATACTGAAGTTAATCAAAATCTCTATATAAAAGCTGAAAATACTCCCTAAATCGCAGATGAAACTGTAAAAAAAGAAGGAGAAAAACTCAGCAAAGATGGATTTCCTTTATCGATCCAATCAAAATCTGGTACTTCTTGTAGCATTCAGCCTCACTTGGAAGCCTAATCAAGAGCAACAATTGCATTTACAGACACTTATTGAATTCACTCAAAGTGTTAGTTTATCATCCCTCATATTCGATGATATAAGATGGCTGGAGGCAATCGACAGCAAGCCTTGGATATAGGTTTCATGCTAATTGGCAATCACCAGTCAACAACGATTATCTGCAACCTTGAAGGAACTCAAGTTCCTTCTGAGATTCAAACCCGCGTCTCATATTCTTATCCATAAACACATATAAGGTATCCCATTTTGTATAATTACTTCTTGGAATTGTCAACTGTGTCACCAGCCGAGATCTTTTCGATTCTTGAGAATTAAAAAGTGGATTAGACTTCCCTTTCGACTGAAAAGAATTTAAGCATGAAAAGTCATGCACTAGCCACTGATGAATACCGCATTCTTCGAGAAACTAATTTTAGGTTACCACATTAATAAAATAACTTCTCATCTAAATACCCAGTAACAAACTGTTAAGCTTTTTTTAAAATTATTCCTTTACGTCCCCAGTGGAACATAGGGCCTCAAGCGAGAGCCTTGCAGTTTCGGTAGCAGTTGTATTTTATTTTTACGGGATGGGGTTGCTAGCCGCATCATACCCAACCTTCCCTCTTTACCACTCTTAATGGCTTAGCGAGGTAAGAAAATGCGTCGGCACGGGATCGAACCCCGAGCCACGTGAGGCGGGGTTGGCGAACATCCTACCGCTATGCCACCAATGCACGTTATACATTTTAGTCAATCAATAAATCCAACTGTACAAACTTTGAGGATAAGTTTGTCAATAGGAAATATTTTCTTCATTGAATTATCTTTCGCTCTATTTAAATTCTTTAAATACAGCAATAAGAGTTTATATGTGTGTGGAATGGAAAGAGGAATGAGTTCTACTGAAATTTGTAGAAGTAATAAATCTTTTTCTAAAAATGTTTTCATGTGTTTAAAACTATACAGTGATTTATTTGTTTACTATTTTCGTTCGATCCTATTCAGAATCTACTAAACAGTATACATCCATTTATGAATTGAATAGCCTATGGGAAAAACCTTCAACAGGGAAATTAGTTGACGCTTATTTTGAATATCAGAAATACAAGTTTTTACGAAGTCTGGCTGATGAAAGTAAATGGGAGGAACCTGAAAGAAACGACCTCTTTTACCTACCTGGGAAGCATCGTTTCAACTACAGGCGGAACTGACAAGGATATCAAAGCAAGAATCGGGAAAGCAAGACAAGCTTTCACTACTCTCAAGTCTATGTGGAGGACAACAGCACTCAGCATCAAAAATGAGATCTTGATTGTCAACTCCAATGTGAAGTCAGTGCTACTCACTATACGGATCAGAGACTTGGCGCCTCATAAAGAACATCTTAAACAAACTACAGCCGTTTATTAACAGTTGTCTTCGCTCAATATTACTCAAGATCAGATGGCCAGAAAAGATCAGCAACAGAGATCTCTGGGAGAAAACCAACCCAGCAGGAACCGATTGTGAAACAAATAGGCAGGAAGAAATGGAGATGGATTGGCCATACTCTGAGGAAACCATCAAGTGACATCACATGCCAGGCTATCGCTCGAGTGGAACCCGAAAGGGAAGCGGTGAGTTGGTCGTCAGTGCAAGGGTGACTTGGAGGAGGTCATGTGAAGAGGAGATGAAAACGTGTGGACAGACTTGGAGCCAGGTGAAGACTCTAGCAGAGAACCGAACGCAATGGAGACGCACGGCTGAAGCCCTATGTTCCTCTAGGAATTAAAGGAAACAATAATAAATAATAATGATGAAGGTAAGCAAGTTATGAATATCAAATGTAAAGATTCCTGTCAAGTGACATGTTCCTACATCCAATATGAAATGTGAACAAGGTATATATATATACTGAACAAGAAATTTTCAATTTAAACAATTCTGGAGTGGAGGGAGGGACATTTCACCGCAGTTACCTCTGGATACCAAAAGCACTCAAATCACAATATCTCATCTACTTTGATACTAGAAAAAAGGTAATCATGAATGAAAGCAAGCATAATTGCATAAAACCATATACTACTGATGGATTGTGATGAATAGTTGCATACTACTTATATCAATCAGCCTCATTTGGTTTGAACTGATTCGGTTGTCTGAGCTCACTTGAACCGGGTACACCGTTGATGAGTCCAACCCAAAAGAGCGAAACAATCATCCGGTGTCCAAAGTATCTCAATCTAGCTAGCAGGCACTGCTGGTTGATGTGAATGGTGGTATGCAACCACTCATTTAGGTCAGTCAGCAGGATATAACTGTCTGTCTGTCTGTTTTCAGCATAGAACTTTGCACCGATGTACAGCAGTTCAAGTTGCCACACTCCATGTAGCACACAAAGCAAGAGAAGAAAGTAGAAGAAATGCATAATAGAGATAGTAAACAGAGATATAAGGCAAAAGGAATAGTAATATCGAAGAACAATATAGTTCCATTGGGTATTATAAGTCACAAGGAGTGAATGCATCTGCGACAGCCATTGAGAATGATTTTGAGCCATATCACCAACAATCATCTCCAGCCACTGGTTTTTACCGCCCCGAAGACCCCAACCAGTTAGGAAGTCTACACCTTCCTACGTGACTGGCTGGCTTAAACTAACTGTTGTAGATTTCATTGACTGATGCCATGTTTTGGTTTGGCCTCCGCTAGCTCTTTCCCAGCCTGACCACCCTATGTCACCAGGATATAACTCAAGAGACTAGACCACTATCTGATCATCGACCATTGCAGCCATTGCAAATAAAAATATCACCAACAAGAACAACAACAAAATTAAATACTTACTTTATTGTTAATACTTGTAATATTATCGCTTAGATCACGTATTTTTGTAGTGACTTGATATTCAACTGAATATAATGAATCATGAAACTCATTACGTAATGCTGCTAATTCATGTGGTAAAGCTTGTCTTGACTCTTCAGCTATAGCATCCAATCGTTCGATACGTGAACTAGCATCAGCTAACTTTTGATTTTGTAGTTCAGTTTTTGTTGTTGCATCACGCTAGAAGTGTAAAAGAAAGCAATCAATAAGTTTAAGAAACCATAATAATATCAAAAATCTTTAAAGCTAATTTATTTAGTTAAACTTTATTTGATTGATCTCTGTTGGGTTAATTGTACTTCGAAATATCTCTCTCTACCTATTGTCAGCTATAAATGCAACTTTTCCGACATAACTTTCTACTACATATTGATTCCTAACTTACGGTGCCAGAGAACTAACGCATCACGAAAAGCATTTCCAACATGCTTCTGTACACACTTTCAGCAACAACTGGCGAATCAACAATGGACCTATTGCATAACAATTATACAGAGAGAAATAAAGATGGATTGTACATACGCTCAGGAGACCATTGAATGGAACTCAAACAGGGAACGTGATAAGTAGAGTGTCCAAGAGCAGATCGCATGAAGAGGAGATGAAAGATTGTGGGCGACTATGGAACTAGATAAAATGGACTACATAGAACAGAGTGAAACGACAAGGTGCTACAGAAGGCACTATATACCACAAGGAATCTAAAGGACGAATATTATAATAATAACAGTATTAAATTTCAACACTGAAAAACGTCGTCAGTAGTTTAACTCAATCCTATGTAGCAGTGCATTAGTTCATACAAGAACACAAACACGATACGTACAAAAGTAAAGGAGAAATGTAAAACGAACAAACATGCAAGGTAGAGAAAATAATTAAAGAGTTTATATGATTAAAAATAAATATATGTATCTATCCTTTGATGGAGGATCTTGAACCGTTTCACCATGCATCAATAGTTACTGAAATGGCTCTTCTAATCTGAGACTATGGTTCATTGACTTACGCCCCTCATTTTAAAGCGAAGTGAGTTGCAATATAAAACTTTGCAAAGAATTGCAGCAATTCAAGTTGCCACACTCTAAACAACGCACAAAACTAAAGAAAACAAAAATTCCAAAGGAGCTATAATGAACACAAATGTACGGGAGAAAGAACAGTGATATAGAAAATAGCGAGGATTTAAGGGTTCTGAGAGAGATCACAAAGAGTGAATGCATCCTCACAATTTCCAGCCATAGGTTGTTAGCGTCTCAAAGACACCAACAAGGAATTTTATGTCTCTAAGTGGCTTAAACTGATGGTCAAAAACTTCACGGATTGGTGACAGGTTTTCGTTTCACCACCCCTAACTCTTTTCCAAGTAGATCTTATGTCAGCTAACATTGCTCGTCGAAGAAGGCATTGAGTGGCTCAGCATGTGTGACATATGCCCTAGCCATTTTAATCGATATAACCTAACAACCTTATCGATTGGCTTACCCTCCATACTCTAAGCCCAACCTCGATATTACTCATCATACTACACGACTTAACAAGTGTGACATAATACATTAATATCTGTGATCAATGGCACCTAGTCTTCCACTCTCGATGGCCATGTCCCACAGCCATTAGAGAGTAGAGAGCGAACTACTGAGCAGTATACATATCGTTTAATCGATAGCCGGAAATCACACTTTTGCTAGAGATGAAATCAGTTGGCGAAGGTCACACGAGGCAAACACATTAGTATTATCCAAATACTGTGTTTGGAAATCAAATTCTAACTTTTGCCAGTAATAATACTAAGAATACTGCAACTAGTAATAATGACAATAATGATGATAATCATAAAACGCACATGAAAATAATCGTTAGAATCACGAAGTATGCTTACAAATAACTTAGGTTAGTTTAGAGCTGTAACAACAAAAGATTTTACTATTATAATCTGTTTTAAACACGAAAGAAAAACACATATAAAACAGAATAGAAGACAATGCCGCGTAAACAGATACAGGCATAAACACACGCAGACACGCACATATGCACACCAGTAGATGAAGGCAAAAACAACAACAACAACAGAACGATGGGAAGAAAGAGGGTCAAGAAATATTGACTAACTAACTAGCTAACTAACTAACTGGATTCGATGGTATTTTCAACAAGTAAACAACAATAATAATACATCACACCTCTTACTATACAAAAGCCTTCCTTTTAGACATATATGAACTAATCAAGGTTAAGCTTTTCACTTTAATAACAATTTACAAGGTGCTTAGAATCAATAAACTGATGATACAACACAGGGAGAGAATGACTAAGATGAATATACCACACTACTAATATTATTCATTTAAGTGGAGTCTTCTGTAACAGTAGAAGACAAAAGACTTAGAATAAAGGAATGTTTATTTGGAATTTGGTATCTCTATATAAGCGAAATTATGCACACCTTATCTTCAAATCATCATTTACACAGATCTTCCGTGTTGTGCTACTTCTGCCCTTTAGTGGTGTGTTTTTGTGTGTCTTCTTTGCGTGTTTGATCATGTTTGACCGCAATGCCGAATCACTTACTCTTTTTGACGTCAAACCTACCTCTCCGCTATTTGATATTTTTATGCCGATGAACGTCTCTTTATATATTACTGATAAATACTATCTAGTAGCACACGCCGCACTTCCATTCTTTATACATACGTCATACAGCTCAGTATTTCCAATCTGTTGACTGTACAAATCATCATCATCATATGACGTCTGTGGGGTTTATTTGAGGTAAAAACAAATGATATCACTATAAATTGGTTGGAAATATCTCCACCATTTTCAGAATATAGACTATGCATAAAGCGCCCAGGTTAGAATGAAGTAGAACTAGGTCTTGACATAGTAAAGATTCACGGGTTATTGAGTTTCAGTCCCGTAATTTGAAGGCTCCAGGTTTGATCCCTGTTGGGTTTGTGGGTGAGCACTGCTGAATACAAAACTAGGACGAAACAGGTGTCCAGTGGCACCCTGTTCTTCAATGATCTCTAACTGTGACGAAATCTACATTGGAAAAGAAGATTGGCTAAAGCCTTGCACACTATACAAATAAGACACAAGACTGATTTTCACACTACTACTAGGAATAAGTTGGTACTATGAAGTCTTGCAGTGCCTGGGGGGAGAGGAGGAGGAATACAATTACCACCTTCCTATTTAGCCACCTCTAATTACGCAAAAACGGATAAAGGAGATCTGTTAATTCATTAGCCTTTGAGTAATAAATATAGTTATTATTCATGAATTACCCTGTTTTCTATACAACAGACAACACATATTTTAGCTATTTTATAATGTCCAAGAGGGACACGGAAGATACCGCGTGATGAGAAGATGAAAGCCTATAGGCAGTCAAGAAGCCAGCTAAACAAGACCGAACATAACAAGGTTAAATGGAGAAATGCTGCTGAAGCTTTATGTTCCACTCGGTATCCAAGGGAATAATAAACAATAAATAGTAAAATATCAGGGTTAACAAACATTCACTTACAAGTAACCTTTATACAAGCTCACTTTATTTTATGTACTACTTGACACTATGCATATATCTTGATGTTTAATAAAATCTAAGTGATTCTGATGAAGAAGCTGTAGCTTACTCGCCGAAATGTTCAGAAAAATCTTGCTTTAATTTTCTTTTAAACAGGCTAGGATGATTTTAAGTAACTTTATAATGATTTAATCAGTTTTACCACGAAATATGTAACACCTATGATCTTGAAATTATATAATCATAAAATCTTACTTCCTAGGGAATGAAATAATTATTTCAAAGAGCAGCCCAGCTTCTAACATCTGTGCTCAGTATATATATATATATATGATTGGTACTGTAGTAGCACTGCAAACAATGAAGTCCCTCACATTTTAAGTAGATTCTGTTTTTCCGGTTGATTGATTGGGTCAAAATTATCGGTCTCTATTGACTTAAAGAAGAGATAACTGTTACCGGTTGCATAAGAGGTGGCTCTCACCGTTCACAAGAGACCTACTGGATAACTCTTTAGCGTTTGAAATGATCAGCGCTGAATTAGTATCAACAGGGACGACATCACTCCCTGAGGATTACAGGTACATCCAGGTGACGAGTTCAAAATAGGACGAAATGAGCAAGCTTTGATTCCTCTGCTAGTTCACCAACCAACGAATAAGCTGTCACACTTCTTATAAACAACTTTAGTAATTTGTTACTTTGGTGAGTCATGTTTGTCTCCTAGTGACGTTTAAAAGCGTGGTTGTAAGTTCGCAAAATTAAAGGAATGAATTCAAATCTTACAAGCTATAATAGATTGATCACATAATCACAGCAAAATCTGTTTATAAGCAATACAGACTAAATCTACGCTAGGTATACTAGACATTTCAATAAAACTTGCCCTATTTGTAGAATAATTTGAGTAAAACCGACGATGAAAAAAAAGTTTATGTTTCGACAGTTACTTTATCATTCCGAATTTCACACACACATATATGAAACATCTAACATGCTTTATCGTTTCAGTTAGCATATATTGTTTTTAAAAAAACAAGGTAGAGATACAGATCAAATTGTATTCAGAAGGCTAGAGGAGAGGTGTGTCGGAGGGGGGTGGTTGAAGTGATAAGGGAGTGTGTAAAAAACAAAAACCTGTTTACATTGCCTCTCAATATTTTACGATAACAACAATTTCCGATTGTTAAGGTAACAAAACTAATATCGATAAAAAAAGATGGCGGTAGGCATACACCCACACACGCATACGACAGTAACACTGTCTTTAATTCAGGATTTACTGACAGTTCAGTGTATTTATCGAAGTAGTACTGAAACCTGGTTAACACTTTCGGATTCATAGTAAGTGAGAGCTACAATTAAGTATTTTTTCAAAGGAAATAAAATATTATTTACGAGTTGATCACGGATTGATATCAGCTAGAGAACCATTGAAAACCAGGGAGTACTGGACAGCTGTTTCATCCTAGTTTGGGAATCATCGGCAGTACGCCCACACACTATAGGGTTCGAACCCAGGACCTTCCGGTTACAAGGCAAGCTCGTAAACCATTCAGCCACTGGGACATGAATAGACGTCGCCTTCCACGACGAGCAATGTTAGCTGACATAGGATGGATCAGGTTGGAAAGGAGCTAGTGGTGATCCAACCAAAACATGGCATCATTCAATCAAACCCATAACAGTTAGTTTAAGCCATGTGGAGAGATGTAGACTTCCTGACTGGTTGGGGTCCTCACGATGGTAAAAACCAATGGCTGGAGACAATTGTTGGTGATATAGCTCAAAATCGTTCTCAATGGCTAGCGCAGATGCATTCATGCTTTGTGATTTATCACATTCAATAAAATTCTACTGTTCTTCCATATCACTACTGTTTCTGCCTGGCACTTCTTTTTATTATCTCTCTTTGCTCTCTTCTCTTGCTTTGTGTGCTACACAGAGTATGGCAACTCGAACTTCTGCACATCTGTTCAAAGTTCTTTGTTGAAACCAGTCAGTCAGTTGGTGAGATTAACTAGTATCTATGATCTGAACACATGTTGGATATTAGTTATCTGTTAGCTAAATTGATTTACTTTAAAACAGGTTTCATCGTAACAACTGGAGGTCAACCGTCTTTGACCTAAGGTATCCTATTTCTCGTGTTGATCAGTTTAATGTGGTCAGGAGAGATTATGAAGCTGCATAAACTGGGATAGCTAGGACACGTTCCACAAGCGCCAAACCATCCCGTATCTTGTCGAGTAATCATCGCTGATGACATCGAACTGGGTTGGAAAAGAGATAAGGATGGTCATAAAAAAATCTGGCATCAATCCATGAAGTCTTTCACTGTTGGTTTAAGAATGCCTGGATAGGGGTTCTAGAGACGTTATGAACCAATGGCTGTGGACACTTTATTACATCCATAAAGTGGTCACATTCACATAACCAATGCTTGATTTTTAATGGACTTGATTGACTGACTGACTGGTTTCAACATAGAACTATGCACAGATATACAGCAGTTCCAGTTGCCACACTCTGTGTAGCAAATAAAAGCAAGAGAAGAGAGGAAAGAGAAAGAGTAAAACGAAGTGTCAGGCAGAAACAGTAGTGATATGGAAGAACAGTAGAATTTTATTGGATGTGATAGATCATAAAGAGTTAATGTATCTGCCCCAGCCATTGAGAACGATTTTGAGCTATATCATCAATAATTGCCTTCAGCCACTGGTTTTTACCATTGTGAGGACCCAAACGAGTCAGGAAGTCTACATCTCTCTACATGGCTTAAACTAACTGTTACGGAATTCGCTGACTGATGCGTATAGCGGAGATAATTCATTAATTCGAAATGAAATAGTTGTCACCTTAATTTTCTAGCGTTTCACACTAGTTTACACCAGTGTATGATTAAAACTGACCTTTATAGAGTATTTATTCGACAAACAATTAAATATTTTATATTAAAAACATAACCCACTCTATAAAATGTAATATTAAGTCCAAAAAAATAAAATAAATTATTTTCGACAGGTACATGCATATATTTATTTTCGTTCATTTGGTATTACAACGATCATGAAAAAACCCTACGTGTATAGATATAGATATATACACAATTTGACACCTTTTCGGTCTTTGCGGGGTAGAATAATAACAACAGCAACAGTAAAACACACAATTTCAAGCACGTGTAAACTAAGGTCAGCCCAAAATAATCAGTTTTACGAAAAACGTGCACTTAACATGATTCAAATTGTGGTATATACATATATATATATATATATATTCGTTGGAGTATTTCATCACGAGTTGATATCATTTGGAGAACGATTGAAAAACCGGTAGCCTAATGGTTTACGAGCTCGCCTTGTAACCAAAAGGTCCTGGGTTCGAGCCCCTGCGGTGGGTGCGTACTGATGAAGACTGCCAAACTAGGATGAAACAGCTGTCCAGTACTCCCAGCTGCTTTTCCAATGGTTCTCTAACTGATGTCAACTCATGATGAAATCCTCCAACCAATCAAACAAAATCCCTACAAAACCAATACTTGAAAATACATATATTCACCTATTGTGAAAAGATTTGAAGATCTGCGTTTTTTAATTGGTGGATGGTGACTAGCAGTGGAATCCAAGATGCGAATTTCGTCCTATTTGGGGCTCGTCATCTGGATGTACCTGCATTTCTCAGTGAGTGATGATGTCCCCACCGAGGCTCGAACCCAGTGACCATGGTTTCAAACGCCAAAGCGTTATCCACTAGACCACTTGGGCCACGAGAGCCACCTCTTGTGGCCCAAGTGGTCTAGTGGATAACGCTTTGGCGTTTGAAACCATGGTCACTGGGTTCGAGCCTCGGTGGGAACATCATCACTCACTGAGAAATGCAGGTACATCCAGATGACGAGCCGCAAATAGGACGAAATGTGCATCCTGGATTCCACTGCTAGTCACCATCCACCAATTAAATACTAATTAAATGCCCAGACATCGTCGAAGCATCTGCTCAAGAAGCCGACATGTCAACCTGAGATTGACCACTTCGGTCCAACCAATCGACGGGAAAATCCAAAATTCAATTAAATCTGTGTTTTTTGTTGTTACTGTTGTTGTAGATAAACACCTTATTCGGCATTGTGTTCTACTGCTAATATCACTACTTCTTATTCTATATTTGACAAGATAATCATAGTTACTTATCTTGCAAACTACTAATCAAAGTAATTCAAATATCATCAATAGATAGTTTGACAGACTAAAACTACACTAGTCTGAACACGAAACATATCTACTGACTGGCTGGAATCAATAATAGATAAAGTGATGTTTGTATTAGTAAGCTTATTGGTTGAAAGTCAGCTGAGATATATCTATCCATTGAGTCATCCTATGAAAGGTGTTGAAGCAAATTTTCGCAATTTTCTAAAACAATAAAGATCATAATACGCTTAAGCGGCTGTTAGAAAATTGGAAAATAGAGATTCTATGATTTGGAATAAATATTTTACTTTTACAACATACTAAATGAACTGAGACACAAAGATTAGAGTTAGAAAAAATTAATGGCTAAGGTTTAAATGACAGCTAGAACTCAGTTATCTAGCTTGCTTGAGGGTTTATGATACAACCTAACTGTGGTGGTTCGTATCCGCCTCGCCGGAGCTGGTGGGCTTAACATCGCCTAGATTTCTAGCCGGTTCCAAGCCCAGATAAAGAGGGAGGGTTGGAGCGTGGTGCTAGCAACTCCACCCACAAAACTTAACCAAATTGCTACAGAAACTTCAACGCACAAATATATTAAAAATACTAAAAATATAAACAATAACCTTATTTTTCGCTGGAATCGGGGAAGTGAAATGACGCAGGCTGGTGAAAGCCTTCGAGAAGCCAGTCAGCCGATGTGCCTCCTTTCGATGAAAGCAAAAATAAGGATGGGGACGTGGAATGTTCGTACAATGTACGAAGCTGGAAAGGCTACCCAGGTAGCCGCAGAAATGAGGAGATATAAAATACAAGTGCTGGGAATCTGCGAGAGCAGATGGAACGGATGTGGGACGAGGGTGAAAAGTACAGCAAAAGACAGAAACAAATGGAGACGTGCACTTGAAGCCCTATGTTCCACTAGGAACCCAAGGGAACAATAATAATAATAACTGTTAGGACTGAGGTATGTAGAGAGAATTTTGAAGCTGGGACACATCAACTGACAGCCGATGCCTAAATTAGACGGATGACGATCATATTCAGTGTGTTAAACAGTTGTATTGCCTCATTTTATCCACTAACGTCACTACTAATTTCTTTGGACTCATAGATGTTAATTGGAGAAGTTAGTTACCGCAGATAGATGCAATAACTGATGTTAACTAGTTCGAAGCAATTGATAGAATGCCCTAGAACTAGGTTTCCTATTCATTAAAACTCATCAGGCAAAGAATGTCTGAAACCAAACGAACTAATGTCGCTTCAGAGCTTGAAATTCGCCAGTGATACAGTCGTAGACTTTAAGAGTGAGCTATAGGCGTTCATAATTGACGTCATGTAGGGCTGTAATGGATAAATTGATTACTAACTAGAGTGTCAACGCATTTATCCAGCAAAACTTGATGATAAAACCAGATTATCCAGATGGAAAGAGAATTGAACTTGGCGCTTCCTGGCTGGAAAGTCGAGCACCTAAGCCATTAAGAAAATGCTGAGTTTTACTTTTGGTATTCTATAGTCAAAATCAATGTTCATTAACAGCAATTTGAATTAAGGCATACATACCAATCATAATACCAAAAAGAGAACATTTTTAAAACAATATTAAAACTTACTCGAATAGCTTCTAATTCAGTTGTTAAATTATTCAGTGTAGATTGAATATTAAGTGTTTCACTTCGCATAACACTTAATTCATCACGAATTTCTTGAAATATTTGTGCTTGTTGATTTGTTAACATATTGAATTGACATTCTTGACGACGATAGAGATAAGCAAATGCAAGAGCTAAATTATTTGCTGATATATTGCTTAATGCATGATCTGTGCGACATGAACCAACATATCCGCCGCTGCCAACGCCGCCAACACCTCCTGCTCCTCCGCCTCCCACACCGACACCACCAACACCACCACCACTGCTTATTCCACCATGAGGTGGACTAAATGTATCTGATTGGATGATATGACTTTTTGATCCAGCTTTTGATTTATCCAATACACCCAGTCCTGATGCAGATAGAGCAGAGGAACCCGAAGATCCAACACCGGGTACATTATTACTATTACCAGTAGAGATAAGATTTTGACCACTACTACTACTAAATACCTGATTACTGGATACACCAAGGCATTCAAAGATACGCATCAATGTGTTATCTCCACCTTCAGACCATGAAGAAAATGCTCCAGTATTACTAGACGGATCAGGATTTGTATCGTCTTTTGAGGCGGTACCCCCACCACCACCACCACAAACAACTCCTACACCGCTTAAACCACTTATCATACTACGACCACCTACACCATCATAACCACCGACACTCATAGGATTCACTCCATTTGTTGATGATAATGAACCAGTACGTATTGGTTGTGAATTACTGCTGATTACATTCTCGGATAAAAGCATACTAGATGATTCAGGCTAAAAAAAAAGAAACGAAGCAACAGAAAAGAATATGAGGCCTAGGCAAAGAAGATAATCAACAATGAACATACATAAATATAAATACATTATCTGCAGTTTTGAAAAAAAAGTCTTCAAACAAGAAATATACCAAATAAAACATCCAAGATGGAAAAACGTGGTAACATAAGTAAAGTGTGAACGAAGTCAAATCTTCAGAAGACATGTGGACAGAAAAATTGACTAAAACACTCACCTAATGCCTGAATTTGCATAAGATTGCTGATAAGTTAAAACATGGTAATAGTCATCATGAACCGACAAAATTTAAAGCACCATTATAAAACAAGGTGTACTGAACAGCTAGTCTGCCCTAGTTTTGGAACTCCTCAGTAATCAACACCCATGACTATAACTAAGGTTGAGGGTGAGGATAGATACACAGTTCGATCATATGATTGACAGTGGTGCAATATATCACGAAACAACTGTCTACTGCTCCTGTACGTAGTGAAGTCGACCATGAAATTAATCAAAACCTTCCAAATCCTTGAAGAACAAAACATGTTCTGATCTGATCTGACAGTTAGACCATCTATCGAACATCTAGTCAGCAAAAATCATTACATTCATTGAAAAGTGAACTTCCTCTAGTTTGTTTTAATAGCTTGATGTTACTTTATTAGGTGGTAACTGACGAACAGAAGACCAGAACGCACATTTCACTCTGAATTAATTTCTATCCTCCGTGTGGTGATTTTGTTTTCCTACACGTTCCCCAGTGGAACATAGGGCCTCAAGCTAGTGGCTTGAAGTTTCTGTAGCAGTGGTGATTATTTTTTACAGGATGGGGTTCCTAGCCTCATGCCCAACCTTTCCTCTTCACCAGCATTATTTCTGGCTTAGCAAGGTAAAGGAGTGCGTCGGTCGGGGATCGAACCCCGGACCCTGTGCATAGTCGGCGAGCGTCCTAGCCGCTATGCCACCAACGCACAAGGTGGTTGTTCAACACACCTTAGTTTTCAATGGTTCTCTTTAGTTCATGTCAGCTATATGAACTAAATTCACACATAAAAACCTGTTCATTCACAATTGCATTGGATAAAATTTTCAAACAGTAGTCGACGGAAATCAATACAAGTAATTGCGTACTTCGTAAAATTGGTCAGAAAGTCAAAGAAAAACAAGGTGTGAACGTGTGTTTTGTGCGTGTGAGAGTGTGTGTATGCGTGTATACACGTGAAAGTGTAGAATGTGACTTTCGAAACTAGTGTTGAGAAAAAAAATAGTACGAATGACTGAATAAACAACATGCTAGGTAGGTAGGTAGGTAGGTTATTAGGTAAACAAATTTCGACCAAGGTAACAAACCGATTATTATTAATGACAATTTGTTAATCACAGTTACACAATTTTAGATATAATCTAACTCTTAGCATAGTTTTATTTGGTAGCATTTCATTATTGTTTAAAAATTACAGTTGATTTTTGAACAAAGGACATTATTTTCAATAAAATGGTCTACAGATGGTTACAGTTATGGGGAATATATGTTAACGCTACAGAAATAGTCAGGTAGGTATAAAGTGAATAAATTTTCATGCAGGATGTGACTGTTAGGAGGTTGGAGACAATTGGTAGAAAGCCTTGCACTTGGGTTGCGTGCACTCACTAATCACAGCAAGGCATACCTGCAATCTTGAAAGAAATCATGTCCCTCTTCTGAGATTCGAATCCGGGTCAGCAGCCAATGCTTCAGTCAGAGACGACGTTACAGCTGAACTATTCGGACTCGCCACTGACCTCATGCAGGATTGTAATGGATACTTGGACTAAAGACTAGGCAGTAACTAGTGTTATGCATATAGTCTTTCGTTTGGTGCAGACTGGCAGGATCCGGATTGGAACGTAATAATATTAACAATTCAGGATACACTGTGATAGTGAGCCACCTAGTATGGTAGCCACATTGCAAACTAGACTGATAGAATTCAGTCTGCACCAAACGGAAGACTAGACGTATGACATTAAGTACTACCTAGGGTCCAATCAAAGTGGGATATGATTACTGATTTAAAATCATCATTCTCAGAAGCGGTTCGTCCTTTGGCCATCCTTGGATAAATAACCACTATCCACTCTTTTATATATTTCTATTCCTTCCTCTCTTACCTTAATTTCATTAAACAACCTTGAGTCCTAGTTTTAGATCGCTTAGATTTTTTAATCTAGTAACCCTGATGTAATTTTGTCAAATTTCCTATACATACATGCATGCAGAGAGACGGTAACAAGTTATTTCCTTCCCCTTTATATGGCTATATTGCATTAATCTCATTTATTGATTATTTGACGATAAATTATTCTCAAGTATTGGTTTTGTAGGAATTTTTTGTTTGATTGTATGGAGGATTTCAGCAGGTTGAAGATGTGGCAGTAACTCATCGAAGAAGACATTGTGAAATGGTCACGCTATGTCGTGAATTGGCAGAAGTTAGAATTCAAGGACCATTGTATCTGTTCCCAGTGGCTCAATGGCCTACGAGCTCTCCTTGTAACCAGAAGGTCCTGAGTTCGAACCCCAGTGGGTGCGTATTGATGAAGAGTCCCAAAGTATGACGAAACGACTGTCCAGTACTCCCAGGTTTTCCAGTGGTTCTCTAACTGATGTCAGTTCATGATGAAATCCTCCATACAATCGATAAATTATTCATTGTTATTTTGAATTTCGCTGCTGACTGACTGGTTAAATAAATCAAGCTGGAATGCTCAGTTTCTGTTCATATGTCACTACCTAGTACGAATGCTTAGACGCTGCTTTAAGAGTAGAACATAATGTTACTTGATTGTTGTTGGTGGAATCCACCAAGTAGAACACTTCTTCTTATTTGTTACTCGTCAGATGGATGTACCTGAATCTCCAATTAGTTGTAGTGCTACCGCTGAAACTCCAACTCAGAACGCATCATTTCAAACGCTGGGCTAGTGGATCACAAGAACCACATCTCATGTAACAGGCGACAATGTTTAACTTATCACTGTCTGCTGCTTAATGCATACTGCCCATTCTCACTCCATGTGCGTCGGTGGCACAGCGGTTAGGACACTCGCCGACCACGCACTCCTTTACCTCGCGAAGCCAGAAATAAAAAAGCTGGTAAGGAGGAAAGGTTGGGCATGAGGCTAGCAACCCCATCCTGTAAAAAATAATCACCACTGCTACCGAAACTTCAAGCCTCTATCTTGAAGCCCTATGTTCCACTGGGAATGTGAAGGAATTATAAAAAAGCTCACTCCATGTGTGTCTCTACAACTTTAAACTAATCTAATTTTAAGTACACAATTAATATTCTACAATAAAATGCATTCGTCACATACCTACCAATTACAACTATGAAAACCTGAAGAGAATTATTTGACAAAAAAATCCTTCACTCAAACCGACTTGTATATAGGATTATTACAAAATCAATAGATGACTACTGATGAAAAGTTTTAGTAATCAGAGGTAGAGGGGAGATCGATATTCAATATAGAAGTCTATTAAAGAACCGGAGGTTGTGGAGTTAACTAGACAGTCTAAGATGAAAAAAAGGAGAAAAAAATCCAACGAGATCACACCTAAAATTTCAAAAAATCGAAATTCTACCCCGACTTTATACTGGCAGTCAGTAACGGTTATCCATTCTGTCATTCTATCACTCTCCCGCACCCCCCTACGGAGAGTGATAAATTAATACAAAAGACTGTTATACCACCTCTTAGTCACCACATATACCCACGATTTTTCGTCTGTAAACATTGAAAATGTTGATTTTTGAGGGCAGAGAAAATTTGCTTTTTGATGAATCATAATTGTCTTTTACTTTCTCATCATGACTCACAGCTGGTATTTTCGGTCCTTTCAATAAAAGATTAAAGATATTATGTACCTCCTCCACCATTGCGTAGGTGTTTTTTTTGTTTCTTATCAAAACTCAGTTTAGAATAATTTTTGATATGAATTGAGACGAAATCAATAAAACTGCCTAAAATATCTACACTTCAACTATTAGTTTACTCAAGATTTTAGGTTTTGTAAAAATTTTAATTCAATTCAGTGTAGATTTCGTCGCGAAGTGGCATTGGTTAGAGAATTATTAAAAACCAAGAAACACTGAACTGGACAGCGAATTCTATCTTGTTTGAGACTGTCGGGAAGTGAGCATTCACAGGCATCGAACCAAGGACCTTTAGGGATTCTCACGAAGTGCACATTGAAATGAATCAAAATCCCTACAATTCAACGAAATTTGAGCATCAAACTTCAGCCTATTAAAAACTACTGGATGAATGTCCTGAAGTTTTATTGATATGTCATGACTGATGGAATCCACAATGTATTGGTCAGGACAAAGCAGACGCTTGGTGATTGCATTGGTTGAAGGTAGAGCTCTACTGTGAATTGACAAACAGAAAAAAGCATTCATGGGTCACTGAAGGTTCAACGGGTTGGCGTCGTAATCGTCAACGCACTCCTAAAGAGTTCCACATCAATATACTGTCCTTACTTCGCATAAACTAGTAGTGAGGAGTAAGAAAATCCCAAAGAAAGAAATAAGAGATAAACAGTCGACTCATTGTATTCCGTTTACGATTGAACTAATGCACGAATTAACGTAACATTTTTCACAGAAGGACATTATATTAAATTATGAAAACTCTGATAGGACGGAGTGCAATGGACATGTTCAGCTGAAGCCCTATGTTCCACGGAGAAAAATAAGGGGTTGAATAATAACAATATAACGACAGCAAATGAAGACTTCATATCGACAAACACACACACACACACAAATACACACAAGGAGTGATAGAAGACAACAGAGGTGTAGTGAAGTAACCACTGATGAAAACACGTCTATGAAAGAGAGAATAACTTAATGTTAAGTATTAAAGATGATGAAAATTTTGAAGACAAATAAGGAATGAAAATATCTGTACTATTGCAACCTCGCCTAGATTACTAGCTCACTAGT